GGGTGTCTGGGATGGTAACTATTCTTGCAGGTATTGTTTTGGGAGATTATCTTTGAAACTTTCTTTCCTGCCCTGTAATTTACACTGCTAGTGCTGGTAACGACTGTAAGAAATACAAGCAGCACTAATGGGTATGGATCACTGTTCTCTTAGACTGTAAAAAAATGGAGCATGGGGAATGATGACCCTGTAAGATAGATCAATGCAGCTGCAGATTGGTTCTTAACGCTATTCAGGTTATTTTTCTTAAATGGCATCATGCCTTACACGTTCCACAGAAGGCTATCCATATCCATTCAAGTTCATGACAGCTATTCTTAGACATTCTTTCATTTTTAACATCATTACCAAGACTACTACTGTAATTTTTTAATGAGAATGAGGAGACGGTGTCCCTTTTATTAGGTTCAGATCTATTTAGTTTAAATTAAAATTATTTGCTGTAATTTTCCTATAGTTATTCAAAGGATTAGTGAGAAAACGTCACTGAACAGCTACTTGTCTCCTCATTAACATTCATTACAAAACTTTCCGGTAGGGCTGATTTCGGCTGCTGATGGAGCAATACTTAAAAGAAATTGGCTTGTCTGAGAAACAGCTGCTCAGCAATGCCACTTTACAAGGGAATCAGTGATAATAAGATGATACTATTACAGCTACACCAGGATCATAGTATATTTTAAGCTGCTTTGAGGTGTACAGTGGGGGTCCAAGAATTAGAGCATGATTGCTTGTCTATTGCTAGAAACAGGAAACAGCTGATCATTACATGTCTGCTTATTTGGATTAGTCCTACCCAAAGGCTTGAGTTGACAGAAAAATCTGTATCTGTTGGAACTCTTCACTTCCTATGTGTTTCCTTTCTGCTTGAAGAGTTTTTTGTTCTGTTTCGTAGTTTTTGGAAAGCTTTGTAAGTCTCATAGCTGAAAAAGGAATTGCATTCTTTCCTAGGAACATTGAGCACCTACTGCTTCAAAGGAATTTTTCAAATTTCATGGCTTTCTTTCTTAGGCAACATTCTCAAGAGAAGAATTTCTGGATCCTTATGCACCCATTAGTGAAATTCCAGATACTGATTTTTCTACATGACCATCCAGTGTGGCAACGTAATGGCAAATATACAGATGTGGGCAACAGAGATGTAAACATCTGCACATAAGGGTCAGTCAAGAAAAAACTGGCAGCTGGTTTCATGTTGTCTACTGACCTGTGCTAATTCACATCTATTGTCTAGAATATGGAAACTAAATGAAAAATATTATTGTCAGACCTTTGAGTGAGACAGCTTTGAAGCTCACATACTATAAGGAATAAAACACTTTGGAAAAAGTGAATCTAGAAGAATGGAGTAGTTAAAAGTCCCAACACAGTGACAGCCCCTTAGAAATGTGGAAGACAAATGAATAAGAAATTAGTAAGATTGTACACAGCTTTAGGATGCAAAAACTGATTGCCAGTTAAAAAGCACAATTTCTTCTGATCACAGCTGGTCCCAAAATGTTTAATAGTTTTTGAAGTTCTCTGTTTTGAATTTCATATTTAGCTTCTCCTGCTTACAGTTATTACAGAAATTAGTTCTTGTAGAGATTTGAAAAGCACTGCACTTCAGGTAAAATGATGACAGAAATGATGTAGGAACGCTGCCAGCAGCCTGAGGGAGGTGAACCTTCCTCTCAGCTCAGCACCGTTAAGGCCACATTTGGAGTGCTGGGTCTAGGTCTGTGCTCCCCAGTACAGGAGAGATATGGATGTACCAATGCAAGTCTGGTAAAGGGCAGTGAGATGATGAAAGGACTGCATCATCTCTCATATAGGCAGAGGCTGAGAGAGCTGGAACTGTTCAGCCTAGAGAAAAGAAGGCTCAGGGGGATCTCATCAATGTGTATAAATGGCTGATGGGGAAATTAAAGACGGAGCCAGGCTTTTCACAGCAGAGCCCAGAGAAAGGAAAAGAAGTAATGAGCACAAATCAAAAAAACAGGAAATTCCACATAAACACAAGAAAACACTTTTTTACTATGAGGATGGTCAAACACTGGCATGTTTCCCAAAGAGGCTGTAGAGTCTCCATTCATGGAGATACTCAAAATGTGGCTGCACATGGTTCTGGAATACCTGTGGTAGCTGACCTTTGAGCAGGACAGACTGACTCGGCCACCTCCAGAGGTGCTTTAACATCTCAGCCATGCTCTCATTCTGTGATTCTGTGTGTCTTACCCAAGACTAATGAGATAATGTTTAAAGTACAGCAGATTGAGTTTTCTTGTAGATTAGATCATTAATAGAAATCTGGGGCAAAATCCTGAAAAGGAAAACAGACCTCAAATTACCTCTCAAAATGGAAATCATAAAATCATTCCATCTATGCTTAAGTGTATGGCTGTGCGACGTAAAGTGAGAAAGAATGCATATGAAGGTCAGATCATAATTCAACAAAGAGTTCACACAACCCTAGAAGGTCTTATGTTTCAAAGATTAACATTACCCTAAAACACGGCTGATACAGCAGAAAAAAAATATTGCAAAATCTGCAAGACCTTCCATGTCCCATTCAAGAGTTCACAAAATTACATAAATGTCTGCACAACCAAAGAAGTTGGCATCAACACTAGCCTAAATTAACTCCTCACGGGAGCAACGGTACTATACACTCTATCTCAACATTACTTAAATTTTTATATATTCCATTACTTAGATATGTTGCTCTTGATAAACATAGGTTCGGTACACAATGTCCATAAAATCATAACAATTGGCTGCATTTCTTTTGTTATTTGTGGTGTACTAACATCAAATGGCAGAATCATGTATCAGAACTCCCTTGTGCAACCAGAGTACCAAATTAAACAACAACAACAAAAAGATTATTCTTGAAGAGTTAAAATTTGACATTATCTAATCTAGCAATCCAATACTTGCTTTATACCGACAAGCATCATTCTATTTTAAACAGCAACAAATCTAGCTGTTTTTATACTGAAAGAGACCCTGTTAGGTGAATATATTTTTCCACTACTTTTTTTGTCCTTCTAGAAAGACTAAGCAGTTTTTCCATATAAGTGAACAACTTTTGAATAGTTTTAGAATAGCATTAAAATACTGAAAGTATACACAAAGTTCAAATGCTCTTTGATAGGACTTCACACTGCAAATTCCCTTTAAAATACCAATGATAAGCCGGAAGAAAGCACTTAGTAATTTAATCCAACTTCCTGCAGAGCAGACCCATAAGAATCCCAGAATGCGTTATTTGCAACAGGTCGGTGAACTTTCAGCTATATACCTTACTGTTAGTATTAAGATACAGAATTTCAGGCTACTGAAAAAGCCATAATGCGCTTAAGTTCTTTGCAATATAAAAAACCATAATGTTACCAAAGAGTTAAGAAGGTGCCATCTGAGCTGTGTGGTCAATGAGCCCAGCGTTTTCAGTAAACTGCATTACTCACTGAACACCAGTGATAATCCTAATTATTTTTTTTCCTAGAAAAAGAGAAAAGCCTTGCATGTGCCATAGACAGTTTGAAATGTCTGTTCTACTTGTATACTCATCTTGTAATACTGCACACAACTTCTGGATATTTTTTTTTAGGTCCTTCAAAGCCAAGTAAAATTTTGACCATTCAGTACGCAAAAGGTTCCAACTTCACCTTGAAAAGGAAGCCATCACAATGCAGAGCACTGCAGAGTCATCCACACTGCAGTTCTTCCAAGGAGTAAGGACATTTTCTAAATAGTATTAGCATCTGATCTGCTGTTGGGGACTTTTCTCCAGCTCATCCTCATATTATACATTTCACATTCCCTCCTTTTATAATTCATCTTCCCTTCTGTGTCATATTGAAAGAATCAATATTAGGAAAAAAATAATCTTTAATTGGATGAAGAGAATGATACAGAATTGCCCTAAGGAATTACACACTTCACCTTTTTTTCTGAATGTGACCTCAGAGTTTCAAAGTAAATTTCCAACCTCAGGGATAACCTTTTTACCATTCTCCTACATGTGTGCATAACCCTTGTTACCTGGGGTTAGCCAGCTTTACTGCACCTGTTTGCAGGCTTTCTACCTACATGCAAAGATGCAGCTCTGCAATCCTCTCTGCAATGCCGAGTTACAACTCTTAGTGCCAGACCCTTTCCATCTTACACATATGCAGGAAATGCTCAGGGGGACATTTTCAACACAAATAAAGATTTCATATTTAGATAAATCCATGACCGAATAATGTGAAGCTCTTTTACTCTTTGCTAATCTGCAGTTTATGAGAAAAACTCAATACAGTGTGACTTGTAAATCATAAAAACTGCTTAATGTTCATTATTACAGACAAGCATTTAGTAAATTGTGACAACAAACCCTTGATTTTACAAAGATCTTACCAAGGCTGAAGAGACTGGAGTACTGATTACAAACAAATAAAAACCCCAAACTATCCTTGCCATTTCTTTCTAGGTACAAAGGACGTGTTCAATACTGCTTAAGTGGTTTGCATGACAATCTCTCTCAAATGCAACTGAAGCCTTAGTGTTTGGAAGCCAGAAGCCCTCGAAGGGACTCTGTACATCACAAGAAAATCATGCAAGAAAAAACTAAAGCCTTACAGAAAGGCAGACTACAAACAACCTGTTTTGCAATAATAAAAATCATGGGAGATCCACAGTTCATCTTGCAACAGTGAACATAATTGCAAACCTAAATTTTGCATTTGAAACTAGGAGACAAAAATTATAAACCTCTCTATGCATATCTAATGTCTATTTTCAACATTAGCCAAGCCTGCAGGCGTTTAACAGTCCAATTCTTGATGTCATTGTAATTAAAGGCAATACTCACGAGGCTGATAAGCATACCAGCTGTAAGTTAACCCTTATCTTAGCCAAACTGATGATTTTAAATCTGATATCTAATTGTAAAGAAAAGAACATTGGCATTTATTATGGTTAACTGACTTTTAAATCCCATAACCTTGGAAATGAGTAAATTATATCCAGCCTACCATCAAACTTCTTGTGCCGGGATACAAAAGTTGTGCGTACAAAGTGACTTGTCTCCTCCACTAAGTTTTCAAACTCCAGTTTGCTCTGTTGGCTTAACTTGTCCTCCATTTCTGAGGTGCAACACGTATACTCCTGAGGGCAGATTCTCAAATGTTCCCCTGGAAACACAAGAAAAAAGGGAATTAGAAATATATAAATACAGATAGAAACCTGTCAGAACAAATTCAGTGAAAATTCAGTGAAATATACATCATGTCTCTTCAGTTAAGGAAGGTGGGCTACCCAAAGATCTCTTTAAGGCTTGACTACTTGATTTGAAACACTTTGTATCAACGAGTTTGCCATAGTTGGGTATTCCTTACACAGGAGGGGAGAAACACTTTGCAGAGTTGTTTTGATACTTCAAAAAGTAGAACTGTCTCATGCCAAAAAGTGATTCCTCATGTTGAAGGAGCCTTCTTCATAAACAGACATATACTTAAAAATTCAAAGACAATTGCTTGCTTCCTGTTTGTATTCCAAATGCCTGGAGAAATACCTAGTGAGATGACCTGCTACAAGTTATCAGAGCTGTCTTGCTGTCAAAAACCAAAATAGACAAATTATGTATTTCTGTAGATAGGTCGCACTTGCTCAAATACACCAAAACATTCTCCCCTTCTACTCTTCCTTCCCTTCTGCTTGAGTAAGTGTATTTTAATGACTATGTTTGGGTGACCAATGTTTTTGTTGGGCAGCGTTTCTTGTCAGACTGAGCAAGTGCTCTGCTGAATAGGAGAAAGCAATGAAGAGTTTAATTAATGCTTATGTTATACGGAAATGCAATGTAAAAGGTAATGAAAGCCTCTTATTTAATTCAGTAGATTTGTCTCTCGAAGCACTGTGCTAGTTCTGACAATATTGCTTTCTTCGGTACAATTTGCGAGTGGAAACCAATTCTTTAGCTCATGAAATTAAAATGGTCTGTTATTACATGAAATGTGAATTTCCAATTGACACTGTACTATGAGTGTCAGAAACATTTAGCTCAGTTTGTACAAAGGCAGGAAATTCTACCATTCCCTCTTGAGAAATAAAAAGAATGATGTGCCTCTATGATTAAAGTTACTTGTAAGGCAATGAAAACATTTAGCTTTCTGTACACCGAATCCTGATTAAAAATCCCTCTGCAAATCTCTTAGAGGTGCAAATAAAATGATATACAAAGCCCAAGGGTTAAATAAATACTGGGGACCTGATTCTCATTTATATTGAGGCTCCTTTCTACCGCTGCTGAGCCATAAAGAAGATTTAAATGAAATTTATACCTACTTTAAGGCTACTTTTCACCATTCTTACTATGTAGCAAGGAGAATCAGGCCCTAAGATTTATGCTTCCCAGGGGTATAATGCATTTAGCTGCTGCATCATTTTGAAAACAACATCAAAAAGAGATTTGCAGATGCTTAGAATAAACATCGTCTTCAGTTTGCTCTCACCTTATTCTAGCTTTTGTTTCAATTTTGGAATGAAGTCTTTTATTTTGAAATTTAGTCATTCCTCAACCCTGACCCATCACCTTCGTCTTAATTTGTTTTTTCTGCAAGAGTTTGTAATATATGAACTATAATACTATGAGATTTCTTTTAGCAGTCTCAAGACTTTCTAAACACTCACAGCTATACATCTTCAGGAAGGGTCATTTCATTACTGTTAGGCAGTACTACCTACAAGTCCCAGTCATGTCCAAAAGCACCATGATATAAAACACTGTATAAACCAGGAAAAAGAGATACCTCATGACCGTCAAAATATTGTAAGGGTTGTTTCCCATGTCTACTACGCCCTCCCAACACAATAAATTAATTCCTCTCCATTCTCAGTATCATGCATCTAAGCCATAAACAACACATACAGGGACTGGTGAACCAGCGCTGTCAAATATAAATGATAGTGGCAAAATAATGGTTGCCTTACCCTCTACATTGCTGTCACATTAAACTGAAGCTATTCAACAGGTAGCGCGATGGTGGAAGTACCATAATAAAACAGAGTAAGAATTATTTTAATAACAGTAATGTTCTGAGGTTTTATTAGATGTTAGAAAGACATGAAAAGCTGAAATATTGTGCCTGTAGATGCTGTGCCATGTACTTGGTTAAATAATAAAAAAAATACCACATCCATAATGTCTTTAACCCCCTTCCTTGATAATCCTAGGGGGTTTTGCTCATTGGAAAGCACTGGGTAGACCTACTGTCCCAGTTCCAGCCACAGTGGTAGTTTGTTTCCATAATGATAATGTTCTCTAGTGCTGTTGCACTCAAGAATTTTTATAAAATTCAGTTTTCTTTCCTCTCTTCATTTTATTTTTTTTTATTCTATCTTGTTCTGTTTTTCATAATTACCAGACTATCAACTGAACTAACGCTAATCATCAAGGCAATGTACCTCGTGAGTAACAGCCATGGGTCTAGATTTTTAAGACATTATGTTATGCTGAGAATTGTGACAAATTAAAGCATACTGAACTCAGTGTAGTAATCATTTTTTTAACTTTGCTCACTTATTTATGGTCGTACTTTCTCTTTGCTACAGAAACTACTTCCCACCTTGCCTGCTACAAACTCATTCATATTCCTACTGCATTTATTTCTTATATGTGTATTTTCATTAAGTTTCTTCTTTTTAATTCACTGGATGGAATCATTCATGAGGCTCTCGACTGCTGAAATATGAAACTTACATTTATCAGAAAGCTCACAATTTCTACACTACCTCATGCCTTTCTTGTCCTAACAATGTATCTTCCTAAACCATCTATACTAACTATCCACCTTCATCACAAAAACTTTGTTAAACTATAATTAGCTTTTTAAAGACAACATTTCTATTTCATCTCTTGTCCCCTGCCTTTTGCTAGAAAGAAAGAATAATGTAAATATTGTGTTATTCTTCATATTCTGCTTCAAGATTTTTTTCCACCTTATGTTTCCTGCACTGGAGGCTCAGGTCAGATAGAGCAAAAGCATTTTCCACTGCTCCATCCTAATGGAGTGTTTGTAGGTCTAAGAGGTTCAAATATAGTTTGCAGAGATGAAGTCTTTAGAAATTGTCGCTCATAAGCCCTAACATGTTTGGAATGACCAAAACTGGCTGCAGTCTCCAAAGGCTCACAACTTGGACAAAAACTCAGGCCCTTTCCTGGGAATGGCAAATGGAATCTCTCTGACAAACAGCTATTTCTGTATGCTTAATGTGTGCTTCCATTAAAAGCAGAAATCGCCATATTCTGTTTCTTCTTATTAAACCTCCAGCTCATGTTAGAATTTCCAGGTCATTAGTTCACTCCTTGTACAAATAAAGGAGACATGATTTTCTCAAGACAAAAGTAGGGGGTGTGTGGTGGTTTTAGGTTTTGTTTTGTTTTGTTTTAATTAAGAGGTGCGTGCTTTATTTTGGATTTTTTTTCTTCTTTATTTTTACAGATCTGTGATATAACAGACTGCTTGGATTGGAAATAACTCTGCAGGTTATATTTGATTGTGTTTCCTCTATTTCCCTGAACAGGATCATTTACCATTTGCATTTTGTAATATATTGTTCTGCTACTCTAAAAGGAGTTTAATCACTGATTTGTGTATTTACACACCTTAAGTATTTTGCAGGCTGAAAATATGCTCACAACTAATGTACCAATTCTTGCCCCGGGAAACTCCATATGGTCTACGTTCTTATGCTAATTTTAGCAAAGATTTTTATGGCACAAGTAGCATTGGATATAACTGACTAGGTTTTTCCTTGTTGTAAATGGTGTCTCCCCAGATAAGTCTGACAGAACGTACTTACACTGCACCAGCATTTGCCAGGCTAAATAAGTATTAATTCAGCAGTTCCCAGCGACCTACCACAACTCTTCTAACCACCATTTCCAGCTAAGATGCTGACCTACATATCTCTCCTCATGTGGCTTATGTTATATAAATCAAATCAATTGCCTACTACAAATTCAGCTACCAGTATTCAATTTCAGTTTTATTACAGCTGTAATCTCACACCTGCCTTCACATGATCCAAACTGGCAAGTTTTGCAGTAAAATTTGGCAATCCTGCTAGCATGTTGCTTTGAAGTGTGATAAAACAATTTATAAAGCTCTTGTTTTATATTCAGATATATCGCAGTTTGGTGTCCCCATAACATGCTGCAAACCTCACAAGATTCTTTAAAAACTGCAACTCAACTCTCAAGCTGAATAAATGCTTCTAGTGTGTATCAAAATGCCAGAACTGATTTGAGCATTGTAACTACTTGCAGAAGATACAATCTGAAAGAGCAATAAACCCTATGGAATATAACACTACCCTTAACAATTTCACTGCCAGATTTTCTGAGCACCTGATGCAAGCATTGGTTACATTATTAGGAGTGGAAACATGATCACATAAAATATCAGCCAGAATTTTTTATGAGTCATGTTGCAAGTTTAACAATTTCAGAAACAATTCTTTCTGATACGGTCAATATTTTATAGTTTCTATGCTAACCATAAACTAAAAAAACCTGATATTGTTCTATTGGCAGAATGGTAGGACTAACTGCATGAATGGTAAGAATAGAAACATACAGTCACCCACTGCTTCATAAATCCAGCAATGGATAAATGTTAATAAATAAAAGGGGCAAAATCAGGGTGCGCTTTCAAACTTGGTCACCCTGTGTGCATCAACAGAGCCTAAAGGCTAGATTAGATTAATAAGATTAGGCTTTGTCATTAACCATGTTCTTTAAAATTAGAGATACCTCCTTCAGACTTGTTTATACTGAGCCATTTGTGAAGGGAGTGGAATTTAATAACATAAAGTTTAACAAAGACGAGTGTAAAGTCTTGCACCTGGGATGGAATAACCAAAGAGGCCAGTGCAGACTAGGATCTGAATGGCTGGGGAGCAACCTTGCTGAAAGGGACCTAGGCTGCTGGTGGACAATAAGCTGAACACGGTTCAGTAGTGCACCTCAGCACCAGCAAAGGCAAATCAGATACTGGGCTGCATCCACAGGGGTGTTACTAGCAGAGATAGAGACATCATCATTCCACTTTACTCAATGCTTATCTGAAGCACTGTGTCCTGTTCTGGTCCCCGCAATTCAAGAAAGATGCAGACAGATTGGAGAGGATCC